TTTCAGCGCTGCCACATAGAACTAGCGAGCAACATATTGATCCCCCCGAATGACTCCGATGTCGTGCTTGGTTGGGAATTTGAGGGCGAGGTGGTAGGAAGACATAGCGGCTCACAGTGCATGAAGTGTCGGCCATGATTGCATTGTAGGGGGAGTTGATCCTCACAACAAGGAACTCCATCATCCTCATCACCTGCCGAGGCTCGATTCCTACTATGACTAGTAGGGTGGTCTTTCCTTCCGTCTTAACAATATTGCCGGAGAAGCCGACAAGTGGGACGTCGGCAGGCTGAAGGCACTCTGGCTTTATCTTCATCTTTTCAAAAGCTTTGTAGAATAGGATGTCTTCCGAGGAGCCACTATTGACGAGAATCCTCTTCACTAGGAAGTTTTCCACTACGACCGAAATTACCAACGCATCATCATGGCGGGCTGTAATCCCATTTAAGTCCTTGTCCGTGAAGGAGAGGTCCTCCTGCTGCTTTGGCCTCTTGGGGGCCAATCCTCGGATGCTCTGCCTGGCGTAGGCCTTGCGGACCGAAATTGAGGCTCCTCCTGAGGCAGAGCCCCCAATGATGATGTCAATGACTCCAGCGACCTGTTGGTGTTGTTGTTGTTGCCACTGCTGCTAGGAGGACAAAGCGCTGGCTTTGCCTCCAACGTACTGCTTCAAGTGTCCACAGTGGATGAGGGACTCTATCTCGTTCTTTAACTCGTAGCAGTCCTCAATACCAAGGCCCACGCCGCGGTGAAACTTGTAGTACTTTTTAGGATCCCCCCCCTCTTGGGGTTTCTTTTCATAATTTATGGCCACCTTACAAACTTCTCCTCGCCTATTTGCATCAGGATTTGGGTCTGGGAGGAGTTGAGTGGCGTATACTGGTTGAGGCCGACGGCTTCCTATTATATTTGCCTTCATCAGCACAATGATCTTCCTTCTTCCTTTTCTTTCTAGAGTGCCAATCGTTGCGTTCGGTTTCCTTGTCCTGGTGGTCCCCAACAAAAGCCTCATCGGCCGCAATGTACTTTTGGGCCTTTTTTAGGAATTCTAGCTTCATCTTCGGTAGGGTCTTGGCGAATGAACACTTGAGGACAAAGCCAACTCAGAGTCACGTTGATGGCAGCATGCATTGATACCATGGGGTTGAGGTCCCTGACCTCGAGCTCTTCTTTTTTAAAGCGGTAAATGTAAGACCGCAAGATTTCGCCTAGCTTCTGTTTGATGGACATGAGTGAGAAAACACTCTTCTGGCATCGCCTGCTGCTAATGAAGCAGGCAAGAAACATATTGGCGAACTGCTCCCAAGAACTAATTGACCTCGGGGGGAGGCTGGAGAACCAGCGGTGCGCTGCCCCCTTCAAGGTGGCCTGGAAAGTACGACATGTCAAGGTGTCGGAATACCTATAGAGTTCATGAGTGCTCGGAAACTCTCCATGTGGTCATCTGGGTCTGAGGAGTCGTCATACATTTCCAAAGTAGGAGCCTTGAAGTGTGGGGGGAGAGGCTCCAAAATGATTTCTGGGGTGAATGCGCCCATGCGGGCAGCGGAGTTGTCGTGACTGGTTGAGGCGTCGACTCGGTTCTCATTAACCTGGCGGAGCTCATCCTTGACGGCCCCGATCTCGGCTCGCAACTCGGCAAGCCCTAGGTCAACGGGGGCGTGGTCCCCGCTTCTGTCTTCACGGACTCAGTGACTGTCAGCTCGGACTCCCAAGTACTCCGAGACCGGGTCGCATGCTCCTCTGCGGGCGCGATGATCATTCAGAACGTCCCAGAGATCCGAGACGGGAGGTGGAGTGGCGTGGCGTTGGCTCTCACCTCGGGAGCGAACTCCAGGGCAACCGAGATGCCTGTCATCGTCCCTGGGTACCTCCCTTCGGTGGCGGTGGTGTTGCTCCGAAGGTTAGTGACTATCTTCGGATTGAGCGAGCACATTTTCCCTTCGACTGGGAGGACAAATGTTCCTTCGTGGTGAATTGGGGGGATGGTTGTTGCCCGACTCCAATGGCTCGGCCAGCGAGTTGTTGCCCTGGCCGAGGGCTAGTGGCTCAACATGTTCGTGTCGGCACTGATCCTCTGACACCCTAGCAGGGTGGCTGCCCCAAGAGGGACCTTCTGCTCAGGGGTAGACTTCTTCTATACGTTGAGTAAGGCGATCCAAATGATCGAGGACATCCTAAAACTGTTTATAGGTGACCAAGTTCCGATTATTCCTGGTTCTCCGCACCATGGCTTTCAAGCTTAGGAGGGCTTGGAGTAAGAATATGGTCTTTATCCTAAAAAGGGGGTTGTCTTAGCAACGATTCCCACAGACGGCGCCAATTGTTGCCTCACGGATTAGCCAGGGGCAATGAGGTAAATTCACTCTCCAAGTTCCGAGGGTAGGCCAAAGACTTCGAGGCCTTGGAAGAGGTAAGCTGAGGCCAAAAAACCTTAGGCCGAGGCGAGGTATTCCTTCCGAGGACTATAAGTCATCACTCCGGTGGCAAGGTTCCTAGAGATCCGAGGTACTACAAAACAGGAAGTGTTAGAGGCCTCGGGTGGAGACCCGAGGTGGAGGCTCCGACACTCAAGTCAGCACGAGGTATAAAGTAGGAGGGGGTGCAGATGAGGTCTTGGTGATAGTCCTCGGATACACCGTGTCTCTAAGAGTAAATGCTAAGGAAACAAGGTAGGTGCGGAAAGTAAATGAGGGAGCTGCGTCAGAATCCCAAGTTCTACCCCACATTAAGGGGGAGTTACCTCTTATTTATACTTGAGCGGGCTGGAGGTAGGTGAAGATGAACGCACTAGATGAAGGCCATATGAGATCAGGCAGCAGGCCCTGACGAGACGTCCGACCGCCCTGTGGTTGGCTCCGTACGAAGGCAGCAAGGCTTCCCCCTGCTGTGGCTGACACTGTCAGACGTTAGTGGGCTGGGCCTGGCTAACCCACATCAGGTACCCTAACCAGTTTCTGGACCGATCAGTCCGACCGTCCAGGTCAACGACAGTCTTAAAACCTTACTTTGAAATTGTTAAAGAGGCCCTACGATCTGTGGATCGGATGGGCTAGAATTATGGCATAAAATGGGTCGGCCAGATCACACTGGAGCCTGGAGTCTAACTAACTTGGTTCAGCATGTGGATCCCACACCAGTCCATTCGGTATCATCATTTGCTTCTGGGTCAGGTTGGGTATAGTCTTGGTCTACATTTCTCCACATATACTACATTAAAATGGGCTACACAAACGTGCCCACATCTGGCAAACTTGTTAGTTGTTAGGTCTGGTCAAGTTCTCTTTTTTTGAAGTCGATCTGTGGTTAATGAGACCATCCCATATGTGGAGACCCTTTTCAAACCCTCAGTTTGTAAAAGAGTAGATTCAACCCAACACCAGTAACAAGAAAAAATAAATAAATAAGAGATTCAACCCAACAGAATCGGCCTAGTATGAATGTTGAATGATAATTGCATTGGAAACTGGTTTCTTAAAGGAAGCCAGAATATGCAGGAATATGAACTTTTGGAACTCTATCAACTATTAACTTCTCTTCTACTTCTATTGGAATAGCTTACACAAGGATTGCACAAAGTGTCTTCCCTCCCAAACAGAGAATGAAGCTTGGAATGTCTAATGAAAAAGGTTGACTTGGCTAGGGTTTACAAATCCTGAAATTGGCTACAAGGTCTGTCAGTTTTAGCCATGAGAGTAGATATTAACTTATGAAGCCCAAGTGATATTAGCCACAATATCCAAAATAACCATCCCAGGAGCTAAGTTGTTTGAAATCCAGCAAATGGCGATTCACTTGGTATCCAACCAGTAGCAACCACTGCTTGCAAATTCTTAAATTAGTCCAACAAATATAAGTTCACAAGCATGTGAGGAATTTAATGGAGGTTGTTGGATGCCTGGACAAATAGGTTGGTTGAAATTTCAGACTTGCTAAGGTTTGAATCAAGAACTCAGAGTAGAGATTCATTGTACATTGCAAGGTTACCTGGCCATGGGTTTGATGCCAATATAGATTAGCATATCCAATTATGAAAAGTACAACTACAGCTTCCAGAAGTACAATGCACTAATGTGAATGCAAATTTCGTTTTGCACTAAGGAATTTAATGTATCTTGTTTGGGTGTGATGGGTGCAGGCATGAATCTCAAGGCTGGAACCAACCTATTTGACATTGAACAACTTTGAGTGTACAGAAGCGACTTTGCTCCCATTTTGAATGCAAAAACAGTTAATGAAACAAATTTGCTCTCATTTTCAGTAAAATATGCATTCTTACCAAACACCTGCAAAACTGAACCAGAGTGCAAATTCATTTCAGTTCTGCATTTACACTCTTACCAAATGCAGAAATAATTCCTTTTATTTGTAAAAGCAAGCCAGAATTCTTCATCTGTGGGCTAACGTGTGATGGGATGTCAATGGAATTATGGAAGCCTTAAGCCCTTAATAGCAACCAAACAATTGTGGTGAGAAGTAAATATTAAACTAGAAAACTCATGATTGGATCTCAATCCAACTCTAATTGACAATTGAAATTTAATGAATTTCATAGGGACTTAAAACACATTTTGAAATAGCAGTCTTGTATGACTGGAATTATTCAAGTCTATCTTTTAGACCAATAACTAGCTTAGTTCGGCAATTAATGCATTAGACTTGGTCAGTATAACTCATTTTTTAATAAATAAGCTTCTTCATGGTCCCCAGGGTAAAGGCAATCTCTTAGTTTAATATTTTAAGAATCAAATCAAACTTTACATTTGAAGAAGAAAACTCAGAATCAACAGCCCATCAGACGTATGTTTGAATAAAATGGCAAAGCAATATTACTTCCCCCGATATGGTCAAGTGATAACTAAAGAGCGGATCATCCATACAGTTACAGTATCAAGCGCTATGTAGACAGACCCTGGATTTTCAAAGAGTAATTTTATTTCCATAAGACAATCAAGAACTTTGCAATCACGTAAAAAATAGTTTGAAGAATCAACAAGAAATTTACAGAAGGGCCAAAAAATTTATGTTATTATGTATAAAAGAATTGGATAATTGCTTCATACACATTGGTTTAATACAAAAAATATGATTAGTTTGCTGCTGCCTATACAGTAGGAAAACAGCAAACTAATCTCTACATACATGAACTCTATTATCTTCTTGTGTTGATCCTGTGAAGTAATACAACACTGTTCCCCAATAATGGATTGACAAATGGATGAAGAAAGAACCAGAGTTGAATAGCAAATGGATGATCTGAAGATTATTGTACTGCCCTCTGGTTCTTCTTTGAGATGTAGTCATAGGCACGAAACAATCGCTTGCCAAATCGTCTAAGGTCCAATTCCACATTCTGCCCATCTAAATAGACCTTCTTTGTGAACTGCCATCCCTTGGCGTTCACACTCTTGGGATCTCTCAGGACAGGATCATCTCTGTCATACTGCCCATACAAAGAGCTTTCTCGTGGAAGAATTTTATAGCCAACATACTTAAGGCCAAGCTTCATTGCAGGTTCACCATAGTAAGTCTCTGCAGCCCAGTCAGTACCCAGCGGGATCACTTGGATGAAGACAGAACAAGGCCTCATAAAGAGGAAATGTGTCATGGCAGCGCCATGAACACCAATCATGGCATCACTAGAATTGAGAGCCCGATAAATCTTTGCCAACTCTGTCGTCCGGTCTGGCCTCAAGACTTCAACTTGAAAACCAATTTTCTCAGCCAGTTTAACCATGGCATCCTCATTCATTATAGCTCTTGATCCATTCCGAGATATAACAACCAGTTTCGGCTTCTTCTCTTTTTCTTCTTGCTTCTGTTCCCCTGCTTCAGGTGATAATGATGATGGGAATAAAGACACTCTCTCTTTTAATCTCAATTGGGCTTCCCTTTCTTCATCTTGAATCAATCCTCTTATTCTAGGCCAATATGCCTGGTCTAGGAGGTTGTGAAAATCCAATATACTCTTGCTCCCCTGCATTTGGGAAGAATCAACTGTGAGTTCATCGTGGATTCTGAGACCAACTATCGCTTCAGGGAAGCAATGGGTTCTTTTGTCTCCACTAAAATCTATGGGGGGATAATCAGAGAGCCGGGAGAGGATGTCACCATACTTGGTCATATACCAGTTATGGTATTCAAGCATGACAAACACAACCTTCTTGTTCAAGTGCTGAGAAGTGATGTACAGAGGGATAAGTCCATCGTTGAATTCGTGATAAACATTGCCTGTATATCCTCCTGTCGACAAGAAGATAGCTGGAACAGAGTGCTGGACATCGCAATGATGGCGCCTCCCATATTTGTCTTTCTTCACAACAAGGTCTAGTTCACCAATGGTATCCATGACGCCTGTCTCCCATTTTCGTGTATAGGGTTTGATCTTTTCATGTTGCAACTCTTCTTCCTTTTCTTCTGCTCCCTCTCCTTCTTTGGCCAATGAATAACTGATAAAGTCATCATCGGTGTCAGAGGTATAAACGAATATTGAAGAAGATGCAGATTTAGTCCTTATATCCCCTCTCATGAAACAGATATCCGAACGAAAACCACTTCTGTCACAGCAAATGCTCCCTGCATTTATGTTTTGCTCCCAGTTAAAAAAATGTAAATATTGAAAAAGTAAAAGAACACTATGTTGTTCGTTTCATTTGTTTGATTTGATGAAGGAAAGAAAGAAGATTAAGAAGAAAAGATCGACATACGCATACCATTAGAGATAGAATCACAAATGGGAGCATCTGCTTCTCTATCAACCGCCACTCTATCATTTTCAACTTCAAAAGTACCTGCTAGAAAAACGATAAAAAAGCATTTAGAGAGCAACCCAATAAAGGAAATATGAACAAAACAAGAAACTACAAAAGAAAATAAACCGCTTACATAGGAGGGAAATAGTGGAGAAACAGCTGAAAAGATGAGGTACCAAGAGTAAGCTGCAAGAAACAAGTGAGAAGACGAAGAGCAGAGGAAGAATCTTGGGTTTTGTTCTCTTGTAATAACCAGAGCTCCCAAACTCTAAAACAAGGGTTTGAGCCTCCTCATCTTCTTCTCCAACGCCTCCACATTTTCTCAGCTGATAACGCTGGTAATGGACCATCTCTCTCTCTCTCTCTCTCTCTCTCTCTCTTTCCCCTTTGCTTAGCTTTCTGAGCTGTTCTATTGAAGCACTTGACGTCAACTTGAAAGAAGAAATGGGTTTATATATCTATACTTGAAGAAGAGGCTTGGGTTATTTCTGGGGTACTTCTGCCTCTTCTTCTCCGTCCTCTCTACCCTGCACCCACGGAGAAGAACAAGAGGAAGACGGAACCAAAGAAGATAAAAGGAAGGTATTAATCAGAAGGTTGGCGTTGAGGAGGATGTAGCGTGTTGGACAGAGTCAGTCAAACGCGTGAACCAGCGGAGACGGGAGCAGTTTGAGAGTTGAGATTTGGACAGGCCCAACTCCAGAGGGTTTACATCAGAGACTATTCAAGCCAAAAAGAAAAATACTACGGAGATGGTTTACATCAGAAAGTATTTTCACTACTTTATTATTTAATCCTTAATCCCCCTCCTTATAAAGGGCTCGTTTGTGCTTGGAAGGGCTCAAGCTTTGATTGAGCTGATTTCACTGTGTCGCTTTGTAAAAAGCTATTTAAAATTTAAATGAAACTTCACGGAGCTGCTTTAAAAAAGCTATCAAGAGAAGCTTTATTGATAAGCCTTTTTTTAGCCAGGGACAGCATACTTGGGCTTTTAGGATTTTTCATTAAGCTATGTGAGTAGGCCCCACTTGCAAAGTCAAAGCTGCTGCTGCAAGCCCTCCCAAACGGTCACTAAGACTCGACGAGTTTTTCAAGGGGAAGGGCCGAAGGGGATGGACCATCAATTGACAACCTTGAAAGAATCTTGTTTATTTATTGGGCAAACCCGCCGACCGCCGGGAATCCGGGTTTAGGATACATTGAGTCCCAGGGGGCGACATTTGAACTGCAACAGACCAATGCGGTTGGTATTGGTTAGATGAGCTGGCCTAGGAGCCATACGAGTATGTAATCTGGTTGTACAGGTCAGCGTTTATACCTGATCTTTATTAAAGCTAAATTGATCACCTAAACCCATTAGTTAGACCAGACACCCAGCTTAATTTTTCTGAAAGAATTTCAGTCTCAATCGGGTACTTAGATTTATGACAAGTGTATACGACCCGACCCACACCCATCTGTAAACTATTAGAGAAGAAAACAGCATTATGTGGATTGGATGCATTAATGTAAGTGGGTTTTAGGGGAGAGAATCAAATCCATTAATAGTATTCCGAAAAGGGTTTGGCTAAATTCTCAAATCCCGTGTTTGGTTAGTATACGTATTGGACCTGACTCCTAAAGCTGAGGGCCACTCCCACAAAAGTTCAAAACTCAAAAGTCGAAAAGCAATAAAATGAATATTAAATAATGTGATAAGTAAGACATTGAAAGCCACCGAAGACGGCGTCAGCATTGAGAAAAGAAAAAAGCGTTTTTGTTTGTTTTTTTTTTTTTTTTTTTTATTGCATGTTACTTTACCTTGCCAATAAAGTATAGTTTGCTTTGCTGGGTTTTTCAACTTTTCCAAACAGGTTATTGGTGAATTGAGAACCTTAACTGTATGGATCCCGCCAGGTACTGGTCTCAGACTCTTTAAATGGATAAGGAGAATAATTTATCATGGGCCTTTTTGGGGACCACCAAATAACCATACCATCTTAACCCTCTCGATTGGTGAAATTTTATATTTCTGACAAATAATTTGAAGACTGCACATGCGGGTCACGTGTGTCAAAAACAGTGGGAATTCTTTAATTGTTTTTCATCCATAATCCGAACCTAGTTGGGACTTGGGAGGACCCACTGCCACTATCTAGTTGAGCCCACGAGCACAAAACCATGTGATGTGGGCTCTAGCCTCTAGGGCTCCAACTCCAATTCAATTAATCTGGACCATGTTCATCGAGCGGGCCGACCCAAATGAACCTGTTGCTCAACTTGGACTAGGTTAAAACCACGGAGTCATGTCAAATAAATTAGCCCTGAGGCACAATCTCGTTGCTATTTTGGATTATACTGGCATGTGGCATGACCGCATGAGTGGAATGGCATTAACTATTCTAAGAGATTATTTGATAACAGCTGAAGTTGCTGAATTGAAAATCTTATTGTTTTATCATTAAATAAAATAATTAGGAATATGATAATATACTAAATTTCAACTTCAGGATCTATAATTTTCTTAAAATCCTATTCACTAAAAAATAAAAACATTGAATTTTTCAATTCGAGATAGATCTTTTCCTGGGCCAGGTAGCCCAAAGGCCCGACCCAGCCCAATCTAAGTCAAGTTTAGACAGGATTCCAAGCCTGTGGATTTGGGCTTGGGCCTAAAATATCGGGCCCGGTTCAGGCTTTCTCATAAAAGTCCGGTCCGAATCCAACTTGATAATGTATTATATAATAAAATATATATAATATTTTTTTTTTGTTTTTTCTTCTTCTTTTCAAGTAATAGTGAGATCTTTCATTATTTTTTTAGGTTTTAAGGCATTTTTAATATAAATAAAATAGTTACTAATTAAACAAAAAAGGAAAAAAATATTTTTTTCCAAATTTTTGGCTGGGCTTCAGGCTTTATAGGACAATTAGGCTCGGGCTCAAGACCTAGGCCCGATGGTTAGGCCAGGCTTGGGCTCGGGCTTGAACATATTCTATTAATGTAGAGGAAAAACCCGGCCCAGCCCGGCTTGTGAATAGGTCTATTTAGAGGTATCAATTCAATTGGTTCAAGCGGTAAGGTTTGGCTCGTTGTAGCAGAGACTTAGGATCGAATCACCAAGGTGGGGGTATGGGTTTCGTTTGTATGAATTTGCATCTGCAACCCACAACCACAAGAACACTATTCACACCTATCAGGAGATGTTTCCAAATGTGTGGCTGTAATGTCGTGTGGGTGGTGTAGGTAGCAGATCCATATTTTTCTCCTTAACACACCTCAATCTATTTAGGGTCCGTTTGGTTTACAGTCAGAATTGGAATTAGAATCAGAATGGTCTATTCCCATAGTCTCCTTGGTTCAAATAGGGATAGGAATAGGAATTGATTTCAGTAGGAATGGGATTTTATTCCCAAGAAAGGAGGAATGAGAGAATGGCCATTCCACTAGGACCAGAATGAGATTCTGATTCCACCCAACCAAATAGTTGGAATCCAAATAGCCCATTCCAATTCTGATTCTAAACCCCTATTACCGTGAATCAAACTGGGCCTTAATCTTTTGGGTTTTGAACATTAAATGTGGGACTCCTTAGACTCCTAGTACTGCCTAAATGACTTTTAACAAAAAAGAAAAGTAAAATAGAAAAAAAAGGAATATTTAACCTTATTTATAAATTATAATGAAACTTTATGTTTAATGATATTGATGTATTCTTAAAAAATATAAATACAAATTTTCCTTATACATCTATGAATATCTTAATCATTGCATTATTGTTTCTGTGCATTATTCAGAGTTCATCCCAAATTACCCAATATATCTCCTAAGTCCTAACCTTGCTTTTCTAATGCTATTTATGATACTGAAACTTTGAACTTGGCCCAGACAACAAGGGTCATGAAAGTCTGTGAAACTAATAAATCAGGCTGGTCCAACCCATATTTATAGCCTGTCAAATCAAACCACATGCATCTTGACCCACCAGGGCTCCGGTGACCAGTCCAGTCCTTGAATCCAGTATGGGCTTGCTTGGCAACGGGTCGAAGTTGAATTCATTATCAAGTTTTGGGATTATTCTCTGCATTCAAATCATAATTAGTCTAATTTGTAATTACAAATTGGGGTTCAAAAAGCTCATCTTTGAAAGGAATGATGAGTGGATAAGATAGGGCCATTCAATTATTTTCTGGTAGGTAAGATTAGTTGCAAGCATATCAAAAGGGAAACAGCTTGCTTGGCCTGAAGCATTAATAAGAAATAATAGAAAGAAGGTCTTCAGATTAAAAGAATACTAATGAGGATTTTAGGAAGGTCACATCTCACATGTTTTGGCATAATGTGAGGAAGATTACAGAAAACCCTTTACCGTTGGACAAGGACACAACCTCACATGACTGTACCACACAAACATGCAAACCCAGGTCATATCTTTGTAGCTACTAACTAGCTAGGAGAGGCGTTGGATTCAGAGTCTTGTGAGGATGGAGATAAAGGGGGAGAGGGATTTCAATTTTCAACCATTGGATCATAATTTTTTAGGTGGGTCATGTCTTGTTTGGTACCTGATTAGAGGGACCCATTAATTGGTTTTGAGGTTTGAAGCCTTGATTGAGACATGCTAAGGGCCTAAGGCTGGTTGTATCTTGTATGCAAACAGACCAATCAGCTTTTCTCCTTCAATGCTCTGCTCTGATCACTGTTGCATGTGATTCTGTTGTCATACTTTACCCACTTTTGGATCAGACTTGTGCAAGTTGCAACTGTCTTTCTGCTCTAGTGTGAGAGTTGTTTATTGTTACTAACGCTTGGATTGGAATCTTATGTCCTCTAGATTGGGGAAACTTATTTTATTTCTTTATGGGGGCAACGGTCGCATAGGTTGAGAGAGGATTGGAATCCGAGGTTCATGTCTTCTTGTGTGGATCCAAAGGCACTTAATGTACTCACGTGAAGTAAAATATTCAAGCCATCTTCATGGAGCAATTACCAGCGCTGCCTGTGTTCTTACATGAAATCAAAATCAGGTGAAGTAGGTTCGAAAACCCATTTTGATTCATTAGACATTCCTATAGGCTGATGACCCAATGGCTGAGATCGCTCGTCAGTATTCTTCCAAAATAGGGGATGTGTCATCAAACTCATCAAACCCATGGAGCAGCAAGCTCTCTGATTTGTAGGGTTGTAAATGAGTCCAAAAATACAATACCCAATCCAATTATACAGATTAGGATGTTAGAATCTGCATCCATATGGTAAGGCCCATTTGATTCATTGGAATCGGAATAGACCATTCCAATTCCAAATGTTTGGTTAGACGAAATGGGAATCTCATTTTTATTTCTGATGGAATGGCATTCCTCCATTTGAGGGAATGTCTATTTTTTCTCCTTCCCTTGTAATGAAATCCCATTTCAATTGATTTTAATTCTTATTTTAATTTGTCTGAATCAGATTATGAGAATTGACTATTCTGATTCTAATTTTGATGAATTTTAATTTCGATTCTAATTCTAACTGTGAATCAAATGGATCCGGAGTTTTGATCTCATCCAATTTTAAAAAAAAAATCAAATCCAATTATATGATATAATGGTGTATAATATACATATTATATATATATATAAGTAAAAAACATAATAGAGCTAAATTAAATCCAAATCTAATCCGAAATAAAAAAATGTTGGGCCCGGATTCAATTTAGATGTAATTAAATCTGACCCATTTACAG